TATCTGCAGATGAAATCTGAGTATGAGTGTTCTAAACTTCAAATTGAGTCATCCTACTGCAAGTACATATCTTCGGAAAAAACCTGCATGTGCCTCACGGCGCCAAATCAGGAAAAATGAATATTATATATATATATATATATATATATATATATATATATATATATATATATATACGGGCACACGTACAGTGCCTCTAGGAACAGAAAGGTTAATCTTGAAGCTGGGTTATTTGAGGGATTAGCCCTGTAGGCGCAGCTGGGCTAGCTCGTAGTAGGTTAGTATGTCTCTCGTCATTACCTCGCTCGCCATGAAGTATGGTCCAATCGTCATATTCAAACAATCGGTTAGAGAAACACATTTTCAACAACACCTTTGACTGCCTGACCTACACAGTCCTTGAATTTTAACACCACTATTAATTCATCCTCTATTCCGGCAAATAACGTCTCTCGAAATGTCTGCTTCAGAAACTAAAGATTGCAGGCATCTAACTCGTGATCAATGTATTGAAATAGGAACATTAAGAAGATTTGGCTTGACATTACAACATACATACGACGAACTTGGTTTCACAAGAAGGCAAGTGCAATTAGCGTGTCCTCGAGAGACTGCGAATCCTATATCCCGAAAAGGACGCCCGCCTACATTAAGCGCGGAACAAGATGATGAGCTTGAGGCTTTTGTCCAGGAATGTCCTGAAAATCGACAGATGTGCTGTTTGGAACTAGCAATGGGGCCTTTCAGCCACTGGGGATGCAATGAGCACTAACTTTCAAATGCCCTCAATAAAAGAGGTTACAGCAAATGCATTACTCGGAAGAAGCTTCCGCTACGTGTGCTTAACATGCACGAAAGATGTGTGGCAGTGATAAAGGAAAACGAAGGGTACACAAAATATTGGGATGAAGAAGACTAATACAAAGCATGTAGAACGGTTTCATTTTGATTGCAAGCCATACTGAGGGCTTCGATGTATACTTTTGCAATACAGCGCAATTATTTTTGAAATAGATGTGCATTTTTAGAGAATATCAATTGATTTTTTTAATTTTGAATTTCAAATGAGGACCATTGTACTTTTCATTTAGAGTTGAAAACCATCCCCATAATTTAGACTTTCACGGAAAGTCATTGGATAGTACTCCTTGTTTGCATAACTAGTCGATTAACTAGACATGGGCCTGCATGATAGCCATACCAATTAAGGCAATATGTACAGGGATCTAACTCCAGTCATTTTGACAATTGTACTATTACACCCCATAAGACACTGTACAATTGTAACACATTCTCTGTAGATAGACATAACAAGTAATTAGGAGGGCAAGACTTAACACCTGTACGCGGTGTCCTCTACGAACCTGGGAGTGAAATATTCTCCCAGAGCAAAGTTCAGTCAAATTTCGCAATATCAAAGAAGTTGGCCTACGAGGCAAAAAACCAAATAACTCATCCACGTCGTTATTTCGCTCCCAACGAGTTTGACTCCTATCTTCGTCTCATCTAGTCTACAAGTACGACCAAGTACATCCTCATTCCAATGACCACACCACTCGTCGACTTTCTCTGGCCTCAGCCGGTCACCAAATACACGCCCACGCCGATTTTTATACCCGACGGAGGAAGCAAAGCGTGGAGCACAAATCTGGGAGATAGCTATTTGGGATGGACGTGAGAGGGATCAGGACAAGTTCACAAGATGATGCAGAAGAGGGATACATTCTCGACGGGCGTGGAATTTTGAAATTTGGCAAAAGTTTTACGAATTGAGCTTTGTGCGCGCCAAGACTCCGCTTGCGAGAGTGCAGCTGACACTATAAAAACAAGCAAACGATGGAAGGTGTTGTGGTCCGCCTCCTGGTGGTGTTCTCCGGTATGGTTTGAGTAGCCTGGGCACCTACTCCACTTGGGAAGGAGACATCTCAGACCATATTTCGCGCGGAGAAAAGTTGAAAGATGATGGAGGCATGTCTGGATAACTCAGGGTTTTTGAGACGTTCCCCTGGGTGGGTATTCACGGATGAGGGTTGACTTGGGGTGAAGAAAAAGCCGGCATAACTTCGCAGCGGTACTTGCAAATGAAATTTGAGGCATGAGTGCTCTTCCTTAACGATGAATCATCTATTCTGTACTTTTCTTTGAAATTGTGTCATAGCTAGATAGCTGCATATGCAATTAAAATCTGATGCAAAAAAAAAAAAAAAATAACAAGTAATTATCATCAAATAATTGAATCAACCTCCAAACAGTTGAGACCCTTAGAAGTGTCAAACTTTCACACAACCCTCAATGGTATTGTCGCAATCGCATCTGCAATGAGCCACCACTGCATCCTAGAATACACTCTCTAACTGTGATAAGCTACACCGCCAGGTCTAGCAAACAAATTACAACACTACGAACCTGGGAGTGAAATATTTTCCCAGAGCCAAGCTCAGTCAAATTTCACGATATCAAAGTATTGAAAGAGATAGAGGATCACTTCAAGTAGAGCGGAGAAGAGTGGATTGATTATTTGTTTATATATAAAAAGGTATCAATAAATGTTGGAAATCTAGACTCAGTATGTATGAAGGTTTAGATTTCTAGGTATGATCATCAAGATCAATTGGATTGATTCCATTACATGTGGATAAGCTTAGCTGGGCGGAGGGCAAGACTGAACACCTGTACGCGGTGTCCTCTACGAACCTGGGAGTGAAATATTCTCCCAGAGCCAAGTTCAGTCAAATTTCGCAATATCAAAGAAGTTGGCCCACGAGGCAAAAATCCAAATTACTCCACCATGTCAATCTTTCACTCCCAAAGAGTCCGATTCTCAACTAAGCTTCATCAAGTCTACAAGTACGACCTAGTACATCCTTGTTTCAATGACCACACCTCTCGTCGACTTTCTCTGGCCTCAGCCGGTCACCAAATACACGCCCACGCCGATATTTATACCCGACGGAGGAAGCAAAGCGTGGAGCACAAATCTGGGAGATAGCTCTTTGGGATGGACGTGAGAGGGATCAGGACAAGTTCACAAGATGATGCAGAAGAGGGATACGTTTTCGACGGACGTGGAATTTTGAAATTTGGCAAAAGTTTTACGAATTGAGCTTTGTGCGCGCCAAGACTCCGCTTGCGAGAGTGCAGCTGACACTATAAAAACAAGCAAACGATGGAAGGTGTTGTGGTCCGCCTCCTGGTGGTGTTCTCCGGTATAGTTTGAGTAGCCTGGGCACCTACTCCACTTGGGAAGGAGACATCTCAGATTACATTTCGCGCGGAGAAAAGTTGATGGATGACGGAGGCATGTCTGGATAACTCAGGGTTTTTGAGATGTTTCCCTGGGTGGGTATTCACGGATGAGGGTTGACTTGGGGTGAAGAAAAAGCCACCATAACTTCGCAGTGGTACCTGCAAATGAAATCCGAGGCATGAGTGCTCTTCCTTTACGTTGAATCATCTATTCTGTACTTTTCTTTGATATTGTGTCATAGCTAGATAGCTGCATACGCAATTAAAATCTGATGCAAAAAAAAAAAAAAAAAAAGAGGTCTTCGCTCGATTTAAGGGTACAAGGCTGAATAGTCAGCCTCGTGTAAGTTTATCAGATGTATCACTATTGTAGTTTAAACAAGAACATCTTTATCCCAACGTACATTGTTATCGGATCAGATACCGAGGCACAGCCTATCCAACAACAATAAATCAATAAATCAATAAATCAATAAATCAATAAATCAATAAATCAATAAATCAATAAATCAATAAATCAATAAATCAATAAATCAATAAATCAATAAATCAATAAATCAATAATCAATAAATCAATAAATCAATAAATCAATAAATCAATAAATCAATAAATCAATAAATCAATAAATCAATAAATCAATAAATCAATAAATCAATAAATCAATAAATCAATAAATCAATAATCATAAATCAATAAATCAATAATCAATAATCAATAAATCAATAAATCAATAAATCAATAAAATAAATCAATAAATCAATAAATCAATAAATCAATAAATCAATAAATCAATAAATCAATAAATCAATAAATCAATAAATCAATAAATCAATAAATCAATAAATCAATAAATCAATAAATCAATAAATCAATCCCACATGCTTGTAAATAGCGCCGTAGCCAGTCTTTTTTTAGGAGTGATCTATGGGTGAGTGTAGCGACCGGTGGCATCTAATTTATCATAAACATGTTTCCATTTCACTGGTTATGCACGCTACAATCCGTGGATTACAACTTACTACTGATGGGAATAGCGCGTTTATAACATCCAGATCCCGGGTCGTCGTCGTATAAAGTTGCAGTCCAATTGTTCCCGACGCTTTCCACGCCGCGAATGAATGCATTGGCCATTAACCGATCTCTAACTTGACGTGGTAGAAATGATCCTGAATATGAATTGATAAAATATCGTCAGATGTCTTATTTACGGTGTTGGCTATCTCGTCGGTCTCGGGGGTTTGTCCTATGTAAATTGTAAATCAATGCATCCTTTTCGCCTCTTGGTTTTGGCTCAGAGGGGAGTGTGTTCAGAGTTATAATATAGTAATTTTTCGTTAATTGTGGTATTTCAGGTATTTTCGGGATAGCAAAGGCAGAGATAAGTGTTATGCTAAGAGTGAAAAGTGTGCGAGCCGCTTATGGACTGCGTTAACGTAAATTATTAGTTTAAGGTATAGTGAGGTGAATTTCGCAGTGTTTATCAGAATTGGGGGAAAGTTTTATAAATTTGTAATTTAGCATTATTTTTAAACACAATCGAGACTTCGCTAGCTACCCCAATACTAGAAATTATTTTTATCACCGATGTAGACTTGGTCCTTGATTTAGCTCGTCCAACCTTCGTGTCATCATCAAAATCATCATCGTGTAGTGCCCTGTAATCCCATCTTGTTTACTATTCCAGTTACGCCAGGACTATTATTGACCATTTATTCATAATATTGATTTGCCTGGCGCCATGGACACTTGTCTATCAGCCACTACACATTGTACAAGATTCTGGATTCTCGATGGAGCCTGTTTGGTCATAAGAATTTGTGGATAGAGTAGGATATGAAAACCTACATTGAAGAGCTGCTTCTGCGTAAATGTCAACCTCCTTTTCTTCTGAATCTAATGGCTCATTTCGATCTACACTACTTTTTGAGGGGGTGGGCTGTGAATTACTTGTTTTAACGGAGGAAGCTATTGCTAGATCGTTGATATTCTTATCCTCCTCAATTTTATCCTCTGTTCTTAGAGGACTTGAGCCTGTTCCGAATGGAGCCGACTCATTTGTAATAGCAACGCTTGCTCCTGAGTTTTCTAGACATAGCCCGTTCGATGAACTATCATCAATTACATTTGTTTGACGGGAAGATAATTGGGGTGCAGGAGATTGAGTGACAAATCCAGTAGCTTGACGCTTTCTATTAATACGTTCCCGGGCCACGTTAGTATCAGCAACAAGAAGGGCTTCTTGATCAACAGTAAACTGTATAGGGGCTGAAGCAGCCATGGTTCGGAGATAATACATGCCAGTTTTCAGACCCAATTTCCAGCCAGCAAAATGCATGCTAGTAATCTTTCCCATAGTTGGATCTTTCATATGAATATTCATTGACTGAGATTGGTCAATAAAGGCACCGCGATCAGCTGCCATCTGGATTATAGTTCTTTGAGAGATCTCCCAGACTGTCTTGTAGAGAGCTTTGATTTCAGCTGGTATATTAGGAATATTTTGGACTGAGCCGCCATCAGATATTATACGGTTTTTCATATTATCTGACCAGAGTCCCATGTCAACAAGATCTTTAAGAAGCCAAGGATTGACAACCTGGAACTCCCCAGCCAAAACACGCCTGGAATAGATGTTAGATGTGTATGGCTCAAAGCACTCATTAAACCCTAATATCTGACTTGTGCTGGCTGTAGGCATAGGGGCTACAAGTAGACTGTTTCGTAGTCCGTGAAGTCTTATTTCTGATTTAAGTGAACTCCAATCCCATAGGTCAGTAGGAGTAACCCCCCACATATCATACTGAAGTTCACCTTTTGAAGCTGGCGATCCTTCATAGGTTTCGTAGGTTCCTAAGTTTTTGGCGAGCTCGGCTGACGATGTCAGGGCCGCATGGTAAATAGTTTCAAAGATTTGCTTGTTAAGATGTTTTGCTTCAGGTGATTCGAAAGGTAACCGAAGAGCTAGGAACGTGTCGGCTAACCCTTGAACGCCAATTGCAATTGGTCTATGGCGAAAGTTGCTCGTTCGGGCCTCAGGAACAGGGTAATAATTTACATCAATTATCTTGTTCAAGTTCTTGACTACAACCTGGCAGACTTCATGGAGCTTTAGGAAGTTGTAAGTTCCATTGGTGGAATCAACATATGTTGGTAAGGCCAGGGATGCTAAGTTACAAACAGCAACTTCGTCCGGAGATGAATATTCAACAATCTCAGTGCAAAGGTTGGAGCTACGAATTGTGCCTAGGTTTTTTTGATTACTTTTTTTATTGCATGCATCTTTGTATAACATAAACGGATTTCCGGTTTCTGTTTGAGCCTCAAGAATAGAATACCATAATTTTTGGGCTTTAATTGTCTTGCGTCCCTTCCCTTCCTTTTCGTAGTTTTCGTATAGCTTATCAAAATCGTCACCGTAGACATCTGCTAGTCCGGGACATTCATTGGGGCACATCAAAGTCCATTCCGCATTCTTTTCGACTCGCTTCATAAAAAGATCAGGGATCCAGAGAGCATAAAACAAATCACGGGCACGGACTTCTTCTTTCCCGTGGTTCTTTCGAAGGTCTAAAAATTCAAACACATCTGCATGCCATGGTTCGAGATAGATCGCAAACGCACCCGGACGTTTATTTCCTCCTTGGTCTACATATCGCGCTGTGTTGTTGAAAACTCGTAGCATAGGTACAATACCGTTAGAGTTGCCGTTGGTGCCGGCTATGTAAGCTCCTGTCGCGCGAATACGATGAATATTAAGTCCTATTCCACCAGCGTTTTTGGAGATCATGGCACAAGTTTTTAATGTGTCATAGATACCGTCTATACTGTCTTCTTTCATATCTATTAAGAAGCAGGATGAGAGTTGGGCTTGTGGAGTACCGGCTGCGAATAAAGTTGGTGAAGCGTGAGTATAATACTTGCTTGACATTAAGTTGTATGTCTCGATGGCTGATTCTATGTCGGACCCATGAATTCCTACAGCGACACGCATTATCATGTGTTGGGGGCGTTCAACAATCTTGCCATCAAGACGTAGGAGATAGGACCGTTCAAGTGTCTTGAATCCAAAATATTGATAGTTGAAGTCACGATCATACACAATTGCGGAATTGAGTTCGGCTTCGTGTTTCATAACGTTCTCAAACATGGATTTGCTTATCATAGGCGAAGCTTTTCCATTTTTTGGGTTGACATAATGATATAAATCAGATACAACATGAGAAAACATTTTCTTTGTCTGTTTGTGAAGATTCGAGACGGCAATTCGTGCGGCAAGAATAGCGTAATCAGGATGGGTTACAGTCATGTACGCGGCAGTCTCAGCAGCCTTGAATGTGTTAGAGTGTGTCTGAAATGTAGAGGAATTAATTACTAAATTATCAAGTTCTATTGTGTTTACCCCCTTGTAAACACCAGAAATGACCTTTTGTGTTATCGCTCCTGCGTCCACATGCTCCGAGTCGAGCCCGTAACACAGTCGAGATACACGAGCAGTTATTTTATCAAACTGAACACGTTCCTTTCGACCATCTGTTGTAAAATGAGTAGAAATAGGAAGAAAAGGGGGACGATACGTACCGCGCTTTACTACGAACATGATAGCAGAGTGGGATGTATGAATATCTTGTTTCAATTTAAACGGATGTAATTATTAGACTGTCTTCTTTGACTGATGCTATAAGCCAAACGTTTGAGTATTAAATTGTGGTTACGGGAAGAATGTAAATAGCAGTTTGTATACTGCTGGTGATGCCTGATAGCTTACGCGATGGATGTAAACAACGCGTTCTCGCTTGCTTAGTGTATCAATTACAAACTAGCATAATCATTCATTGAAAGCCAGTGTAGTACGACCCCGTCAAGGTAGGCTAATCTAGTCAAAGGTTGATTGTATTACGCATTGAAAATATAGGAACTGCTTTAGCCTCAGATAGATTTCTCGGATACGCAATATTCACCTGCTCCATATAACAGCGCTTGAAGCCCAGCATACAATGTGACGCGGACTAAATTGTTACATCGGAATAACTTCAAATACCTCTCTCGAATCTAGTCCAAGGGCCTAAAAGAACTTATTGACAATCATGATTAGACTCAGCTATCTACAAGTAGCTCCATACCTATTTCATTATTAAAGAATCCTCACTGCTCTTTGACTTGAAGTCTTGTGTTCTGTACATTTCACCGTGTATCTTGTTTTCATTGAATTGAATGCAATCCTGATATCAATCAATTTAGTCGACTTTTAAGTCGAATCCAGCGCCAAGAGTAAGACTCTTAGTATCTTTTTTAATTTGGAAAAATTAAATCAATGTACAATTTACAAGAATGAAGTTTCTCTTTGTGCCCCAGATGTTCTTTAATATATTACGAAATATGCAGTGAATTCAATTAGTTAGACTGTAAGGCTCTAGTCGTATGAAAGCTAGACGAGTTTAGATGCTCTGTCCACTAAATTTTCCCCGTTGCTTGCACAGTTAATAATTTAAGCCTCTCGTAAACGAAGGAATGGTATGAGGAAGACTGTAACTGACACAGGATTGGGACTTGGATGGTTTCTCACAGAGAAAGAAAAGAGAAAATTATTGATTGACATATCTTCCATGATCTCACTTCTGTTTTAATACAAGTTCGCTCGTCTTCCTTCAGTCAGTTTCTATCATCCAGACCAAGTAATCACTTCATCCCGTCTTACAAACAGACTATGTTATCTAAATTTAAACACAAGATAAAAATATGATGAGCTCTAATATAGTAAACAGGTATAAGAAGGCGCAACTAATTAAACTACAAATTTCTAGAATTGAGTAACGCACAGTTGATTGCGCGTGCTTCTTGATCAGCCTTCTTCAGTCTCATAAGCAAGTATGTTTGTTCGACAATAGCGAAGTTGTGAATCTAATTGTCGACAGATTTTGGAAGATGTTTATCTGCAGAGGTCGAATCGGTTTCGTGGAAGACAAATTATAAAATGTTCGAAATTGCAAAAATGCCCAGGTTCTAATTAATCGCGAAGTGTAAAACTTAGAAGTCTTCGTGTGCATATCACGTGTATCTTTAAAAGATAAAAGCGAATGCAAGAGTGAATATTCTTTACTTCGTGCTACAAGTCCATCGTAGCGGAGGGCAAGACTGAACACCTGTACGCGGTGTCCTCTACGATCCTGGGAGTGAAATAATCTCCCAGAGCCAAGTTCAGTCAAATTTCGCAGTATCAAAGAAGTTGGCACACAAGGCAATGATTCAAAATACTCCGCCACGTCACATTTTCACTCCCAACGAGTCCGAATCCTATCCAAGCCTCATCAAGTCTACAAGTACGACCCAGTACATCCTCACCCCTATGACCACACCACTCCTCGACCTTCTCTAGCCTCAGTTAACCACCAAATACACGCCCACGCCGATATTTAAACCCGACGGAGGAAGCAAAGCGTGGCGCACAAATCTGGGAAACAGCTCATTGGTATGGACGTGAGAGGGATCAGGACAAGTTTACAAGATGATGCGAAGGAAGGATATTACCTCGAAGGGCGTGAAATTTTGAGTTTTGGCAAGAGTTTTACGAATTGAGCTTTGTGCGCGCCAAGACTTCGCTTGCGAGAGTGCAGCTGACACTATAAAAATAAGCCGACGATGTGGAGGGCAAGACTGAACACCTGTACGCGGTGTCCTCTACGAACCTGGGAGTGAAATATTCCCCCAGAGCCAAGTTCAGTCAAATTTCGCAATATCAAAGAAGTTGGCCCACGAGGCAAAATTTCAAATTACTCCACCACGTCAATCTTTCATTCGCAAAGAGTCCGATTCTCGACTAAGCTTCATCAAGTCTACAAGTACGACATAGTACATCCTCACCCCAATGATCATACCTCTAGTCGACTTTCTCTGGCCTCAGCCGGTCACCAAATACACGCCCACGCCGATATTTATACCCGACGGAGGAAGCAAAGCGTGGAGCACAAATCTGGGAGATAGCTCTTTGGGATGGACGTGAGAGGGATCAGGACAAGTTCACAAGATGATGCAGAAGAGGGATACATTCTCGACGGGCGTGGAATTTTGAAATTTGGCAAAAGTTTTACGAATTGAGCTTTGTGCGCGCCAAGACTCCGCTTGCGAGAGTGCAGCTGACACTATAAAAACAAGCAAACGATGGAAGGTGTTGTGGTCCGCCTCCTGGTGGTGTTCTCCGGTATAGTTTGAGTAGCCTGGGCACCTACTCCACTTGGGAAGGAGACATTTCAGACTACATTTCGCGCGGAGAAAAGTTGATGGATGACGGAGGCATGTCTGGATAACTCAGGGTTTTTGAGATGTTTCCCTGAGTGGGTATTCACGGATGAAGATTGACTTGGGGTGAAGAAAAAGCCACTATAACTTCGCAGTGGTACTTGCAAATGAAATCTGAGGCATGATTGATCTTCCTTTACGTTGAGTTATCTTTTCTGTACTTTTCTTTGATATTGTGTCATAGCTAGATGGCTGCATGCGCAATTAAAATCTGATGCAAAAAAAAAAATGCACGAAAGATGTGTAGCAGTGATAAAGGAAGACGAAGGGTACACAAAGTATTGGGATGAAGAAGACTAATACAATGCATGTAGAACGGTTTCATTTTAATTGCAAGCCATACTGAGGGCTTCGATGTATACTTTTGCAATACAGAGCAATTATTTTTGAAATAGATGTGCATTTTTAGAGAATATCAATTGATTTTTTTAATTTTGAATTTCAAATGAGGACCATTGTACTTTTCCCATTGAGTTCAAAACCATCTCCATATTTTAAACTTTCACGGAAAGTCATTGGTTAGTACTCCTTGCTTGCATAGCTAGTCGAGTAACTAGACATTGGCCTGTATGATGACCATACCAATTAAAGCAATATTGTCAGGGATCTAACCCCAGTCATTTTGACAATTTTACTTTTGCATCCATAAGAGACTGTATCCTCCGAAAAAAACCTGCATATGCCTCAAGGCACCAAATCAGGATAATGAATAATTTATTAACAGTGTCGCAGAAACCAGTCAGGCAGCTATGGGGTTTTTACTGCAAGGTGTCTTTTGTAAACAGCAGAGTTCGTAGACATCTGCATGGGCCATAGGGCGCCAAATTAGGCAAATTGAAATCAAATTCCAAAATAAAAGACGAAATAATAGATACTGGCAAATTATTGATCGGTAGAATAGTGCATGCATGAATGATTGTTCAGAGCAGTCGCATGGCCATGGGTCATGATAGAGATGTCTTATTTTTCTTAAGGCTCGGGCGCCTAGTGGCCGAGGCCAAACAGCAGTGCATGCAAACAGAATAAAAGCGCAAAAGCGCGTGAAAATCTTACGGTTGGAGGGGTAGGTATAGTGGGGTTGCAGCGTGTTCAAGACGTTAAATACAGTTCAAGAGTTCCTAGTAAAGTAGGACGAGGCTCAGCAGGCAACCTGACCCGATGCTGCCCTTCACTTGCCTCAACACCTGCAGGAGCGCACAGTCGCCCAATAAGCTAGTGTGACGGGTTGAAATACAAAATAATTTGCTCAGTAGTCTCGTGAAATGAGTAATGACGGAATACGTGCTGACTAGAATCCTAGCGACGCCAAGGGAAATGCCTGTAAATCTAAACTTGAGCACATGATGCTGACTTGCAACGGAGGTGTTGAATCCTATCACTTGTTAATTCAGTGCAGCATTTGACATTTAAAATCAACCAATAAACATAGGCATGCGGCAAATTCGATCATAGCCAGGCAATCAAGGTGAATATTATGTGATTTAAAAAAACAGGCAATCAAAAGTGCAAACTATCAGATACATCAAGAGTGACCCTTTAGATGCAAATGCAGTTGGAAATGAAGTACCATCGTACGTAAGGCAGAATGTGACGTATCATTAACAAAATACCCAAAACATCAGCTGCTCCCAGAGCTAATATGAGCTTATCACTAGGACGTTTGTCTTGCATAAGTGGAAACATTTTGGGTAGGGGTCTTGTTACTAACCATCCAACATGAATGCTATTGTTGGGAATGAAGACACAGAGTGTATTGGACTCATATGCCCTCCATTTTGTCAAGGTTTCCCACACCCGCTTGGGTATAACAAAGGGGTTGAGATGAGTTGTATGGAAGTGCTTCAGACTACCCGACGAAAAAATGAGCGGCTGTATGGCATGGGCACAAGATGTCACGAAATAATGTCGTCATTTGTACGATCGAATGAGGTAATCTGCGTCAATTCTGATTATCTAAAATAATACAAATACAAGAGTCGCTGTATGATGCGCTTGAAAACAGCTCGTAATAGGAAAATATTTTACAGGGTCTAACCTAGCGGGCCCAGTACCCGTAACACAAGCAGTATATTGGGGGTTTTCTATGCCTAGATGGCACCACAATCGCTTATGCTGTGGCTCAGGCTCAGTGTCGCTTACACTTGTATTTATTTCGCACTCCTCCCGTTCATCTTTTCGCAGATCAGACACGCGACCCTTCTTGTCAACTCCTTTCGTTCCGGAAGTAATGCGCCAATTTCATTGCGCAATATTACTAACAGCTAACCCGGTATAGCTGGTCAGTGAGGTAAATAACTACGCTAAGGTTGATTAAACTTGCATATGGGGTAAACTTCAACTAGTAATATTTCATTGTTCCTCGAACAATCCAATGAAGAGGATGCACAGTAAAGACTGGGACTCACAATCAGTAACTTCATCCATTCTTTTCACAGATAAATCAAAGCATTTCATCATAATCATTTAATCTCATTTTTGGTTCCATTCTCAAACTTGAAATTTCACCTCTAACACATTACGTTATTCACTGCCACGATGGAAAAATACCTGGCAAACATCCATTGGAACAAATTTTGGATAAATTCCATACTTTATACTCTAGCTATTTCACAACAAGTTGCGACACTATCTTTGCAAAGCCCAACAACTCGAAGAAATACATAGATTCTGTCGGAAACTTGTTCAAAAAATTTCAACCACGTCATCCGCGCGCTGTAGCTGCAAACTATCGCCAAATGTCACGAGTAATATTGAGTCCCGAATCATTAAGCCAAGTCACCGTATTGAGTCAACCCCATTTGACTCAGCCCCATACGAACATCTGGCTATACTTATTCTAATCAACGCGACTGTTATTGAGGCTTGGATGTCCCTATTGCAGCATATGAATACGCTTGAGTCGATAATTGCATCCTCAGTAGAAAATTAAGCGGCGTAGTTTACTTTCAGGCGTGCCGGTACTATACAAACTTAAATCAAGTACAAAATGGAATGTTCGAAAGAGTTGCTCCGTAGAGAGCTGTATGGTTTGGAGCTTGTGAACGTGCAAGAATTTTGGAAAAAGTATTTCTCCAACAGATCGGGGAAAACCAAATATCTTGGTTTGATCAAAGGCTTTGAGAAGCGCACCGCTGAAGAGGACATGAAGTTTCCAGAGGTATCCGGAAATTTTGATTTAGAACTAGATGAAAGCGGTTGAAACCAAAATATTCGAACAACCAAGCAAGTCTAGACACCTCGATGTCGGCATCCAGTTCAAAGTCCGGTGGAGATGAACATTATCTCAACAAGAACTGGTTTTGCACATCTAGCGCCTATGAATTACAGGAGGTCAAACAATCAGAGAAGTCGACTACTTCACCAAGCGGCGAGGACTACCCACGTCTGATCGACACCATTGGCTTGATGTACTGGTGGTCGGAGAGTTTACAGAACCCAAATCAAAAGTGTTCATCGACAAGTTTCTCCAGCTATCGGTGTTATTGCGTGTGTTGTTTTTTTGCCCAGTCCCTTTGACGATTTACCCACGCATTCCTTCTTTCCAAAAAGTCACTTCTGCTCTGGGTTTACAATCGGTCAGGAATAAACAGAAACTTGTACATATTGGTAAATCATCGCAGACGCTTGCATATGTGGTGGCGGCGGCGAACATGTCAATGAGCGACGCAGAACTCGGTCTTGACCCAAACATGGGGTACGAAGCTTGCCAGACTACTATCACGCTGGATGTCTCTGGACCGTAGAAAGGGTGTGAGTTCAAATTCTCTCCCAGGCCAATCGCACAAGAGACTTCACTTGTCTCGAGGGGAACAAGCTGCTATCACACTTTCAAAGGGGACAGTGCAGTAATGTTCTCTTGGAGTGTGTTCGGGGACAACTCGGATGCTGAGCTGCTCAAGCTTTCGGAGGACGCCAATGACTTAAAAAATCTTATGAGATCGCTTGATTTCGTAAAGATAAGTGATCTTCGAAAGGATCTGATTTTCACTGACAAATGGAGAAAAATAATTTTCCAAACGACATAGCCATGGCAACACAACTCGTGCCCACTTATGGTATCACACCGAGCGAGGATAAAATCACAAATAACGCTGGGGCGCGAAAGCGAAAGAGCGATACAAATGATTCAGGAAATGAAACTTATATCAGCGAATGCGATCATCGAATGTTATGGCCAGACATCCTTAAAGTGATTTCAAGGAGAAGGTTTTAAGAAAGTTTTCGGGAAAAGGTTTACTAAGAAGGTTTCCGAGAAAACTCTGACAGGTAGAGATGAAGGACCTGGCGTCAAGACTAGATTTGCCATAGTCTCAATTGAGTTCTAGTGCTGTCTCGAGTTAGACTTAAGGAAGCTAGAGCTGCCACATAGTAGCTCTCCAACTTCTCAATCTTTCATTCTTTTGATCTTTGATCTCGCAATCTAGCATTTACACAATATTATAATATCATATTCCCACAGTCCGATATTCTCAGTCTTTCGTTATTCGTTACATTCTTCGTGCTTCTGTTCACCCTAAGTTATCAGAGTTGATCGCTTGCTCAGTAACTCGGCTTCTTGACTTCGTATCTCTCGACTATCCTATAGTTCTCCGAACTTTGATCACCTGACACCTCGCCAGTCGAATTATATCTTAATATCCTTCGTTAGCAGCTATAATCCTAACAGTTATTAATCCATTATCTTTGGCAGACGGCGATCTCAAGTATCCTTAGCGCACGCCATAACATCGAAGAACCTTTTGTCCAATTAGATGTGAACCTAAATCTAATGAAAAGTTCTCTGAGAGGAATACGGGGAAAGATGAAGTCAACGGACGAATCATATTAGAATGAGTGAATAATTAGACACAATATGAATGGATTGAGATGATACGAATTGATCTGCCCTGAAGTCCATGGAAGTTGATGTTTATATGAACCCCACTGCTCCTAGCTTATCTTGAGGACACCTTTATTATGTAGCCAGATACACGTTCTGTTACCGTTGATGATAGCCTGGGTAGTCTAATTTTTGAGTAAACCTAAGCCATAAACCCTTCTAAGACCTGTGTTTACCGAAGCTAGCTCTGACTGCAACTATCCCAGATGTGTATCAAAGCTGGTGCTTAGTGGAAACTCGATCACCTCTAAGTCCCGAAAGCCTGTACAATGCGAAACCGCAATAGATCATGGGACTAAATTTTTTGAGTACAATAGTGGAAGTGTCAACTTTTATCATCTAGAACAGGTACGCTTCCTGGTCAATACAAAAACGTAAGTAGTACACCTTTTGTAGCTGGAAACGGTGATTTGGAGTGTTCGGGTGTTTTTATTGTACTACTTGAGTCTATGACTATCTAGCACATTGGACTCCTCTCCGATCCAGGCTACACCTTGCACAGTGCTCCTATCCTCTTTTGTCACTTGAAAGATCTTTGATATATTCCCCTTGATGAATAGCCATTCAGCTCAGTATTTACCCGTGGAATTCGGCCACCTTTTCCACGGAACCTTCTACCCAAAAAAAATAAAAATGGTAGCAATGGAAACTGCGTGCGCGGGAAAAAGTCTCAAAAATCCTGCAGCCCTAGCCAGGCGAGGCCTAGACACCGGGACTACATAAGGTGCGCATATTCATCTACATACCCCTTCTTTGTAACAGTCGAGGTCGACTTGATCCAATCCACCATCTCCGTATCGAGTGCTGGGTACGCTCCGGAAACTACTTGGATGGCTTTTCCTCCATAATCAAGGGTTGGTGATGAGTAGGGCTCCGGCCCTACCATCTGATCTGATCGTAGTTAGCTTTATGATAATGGTGATAGGGGGGATGTGTTGAGATATGAAGACGATACAGACGGCGAAAGCGATTGGGAATCCTCGTCCAAGTGAGGACTTTGTCACTCAATCTCGGCTCTGCAGACTTTCCAGTGAGAGCTGGAGGTCTGAAGGAAATTTCTAACAACTGTTGCGTCATAGTTACCTCGTATCCCGCTCAGTACAAGCACTCAACGTAACTAATGAAGAAATATTCTTCACCTTCTAGCGGTGCTGGTGCAATCGCTTAGTATGCTCAGCATATCTGAGATGACCAAGAAGAATCACATTCGAATTGAGGTCAAAAGCAAACACTGCCATTTCTATATTCGACGAATTTTTATCCATCTCGGTCTTACCATTCTCATCCGAGCACTCAACCTCTTTCTCACCACTAGCCAGCCCGACTCAAAGTCCGATAAAGGCGTTACTCCAAATGCAAACGTGAGCTTGCCTCATTTATTACCAGCCATCTCTCATTACAAATTTACGACGCTACATTTATCTACAGGAAGGAGAATAAGTCATAGGCTTCAAAGCTTGAGATCTAGCTTGTGATTGAACGTTATTTCAATGAAGCTCTTCAATCTTGAGGCCGAAGCGACGGCTAGGACATGGAATGAGAGGTGAAAGAGGTCTCTCACGGGAATGATGGGACTGTCATTTTTCGAAGGTATTCCGACTTTGTTATGTCGGTGTGCGCCGAGACCAAGGCTGCAGTTGGTTGGCCATGAGTATTTCGATCTTCAATGATTCAATGGCACGAAGAAGTCGGCCTAAGCCACCGTACGGCAAACACACGCTGTCCACACTTTTCTGATATTTCGACACGATCTTCGTCGAAGAGAGTGACCTTTCTCAGCACACACTAGTCTGTAGCATCTATCTGGCTGGCCTCTTCCAACGGCTTTGAAGGGTCATTGTGACTTCGGATCTAGTCCTAATGCCGGTGTTAGAAGATGCCCACACCTAGTGAACTTTGAGATCTCCTCCGGCTGCCATACACCCGCACATGATTCTTAATTCGTTGGTTGGAGGGGGGACATGATAAACTGTGAAGGGCTCCTCTGAGTGTATGTTTGAATAAGAGTTTGTGAGGGGTGGCACTGTATGAGGAGAGCTGTATGGGAATCGTAGGAGGGGAGTCACTACTCGCACAAGTATCCTTGGTCTGTAGGTAGAAAGGGTAATAAAATAGTTAAGAATGATAACATGTGCTTAGATATCACTCAGCTCTATACGTGTCCTTCGGACTAACCTTTACACTACATGATGTTAGAAATTGTTAAGGGTTTCTTGGAGGAATTATCGCGAAGAATGAATGTACAATTTCGGACAGAACTTAATTGATAGTTGTATAGGATAGCGGACTCTTATCTCAATGTGAATTGACAATATTTAACATTCCATTCACTTAGTTTAACATCTAAAAATAAGTCTAGCCTTAAAAATAGATTCTCAAGGCTTTAGTGATCCCAAACTCTAAGTGATCTGGCAACAAACAGTTACTCTTTTGATTCATTTTCTGCATCCGATTCTAATTGCCTAATGCAGTTATGTAGCTATGACACAATATCAGAGAAAAACTATAGAATAGATGACTCAATATACAAGAAGAGCACTCATATCTTGTATTTCATTTGCAAATACCGGTGCGAAGTTATGCCGGCTTTTTTCTTCACCGCAAGTCAACCCTCATCCGTGAATACGCACCCTGGGAAATGTCTCCAAAACCCTGAGTTATCCAGACATGCCATCATCATTCATTGAATTTTCTCCGCGCGAAATGCGATCTGAGATGTCTACTTCCCAAGTGAAGTTGGTGCCAGGGCTACTCAAACCACACCGGAGAAAACCACAAATAGTTGGACTGTTTTGATGAATAGAATAGAATTTAATTAATGTCCCTACTAAGTCTATGACTATGAAGGACAGCTAAACTATCTTTAAAGCTTTAAATTTAATACGAAATTTGGGTCATGACATGCTCAATTTTTGCTAATAGATGATGAGGATCATGCCCTCATTGTTTGATGAGTCGTGG